GTAGTGAAGATCCCGTGTTAGTTGTGTATAGCCTATCCTGACATTCTTATATTAGTAGCAGTTGTCAACAGTGTCAGCCAAGTAAAAATTCCAGGCGAAAGATCTTCCTGATCGTATCTGTATTAACCTTCTTAAGGATATCTATATCTAAACACACATCCACAAACATCCACAAATTTATATATATATATACCACATGACACCCTTGAGCGGTTAGCCTTGGAGCGGGTAGAATGGAGATCAACGTGTTTTAGTGGACTCAGCAGTTTTCAATCTGCATGTCTAAATCATCTTCAACAAGCGAGAGCAACATCTAAAAGGTCAGCCAATCTAAGAGTGATCTCATCTCACAATCCTCACACTTGCTCCATATGTGGCCTCCTTTGTAAATCACTAGCTGGACTTAAATGCCACTTAAGATTATCGCACAAAATTTCATAACTGAATCAACTAAACTGTCAGATCCTCATCGTCGAAACCGAACGGGAGAGAGTCCATTATATATATATATATATATATATATATATATATATATATATATATATATGGGGGCTGTTTGTCTTCTGCGACCATATACATGCATACATATTTAAAAATTCAGATGTAAATAAAATATCTGTCTATATTTCTGAGATGAGGTATTATGTACATTATTCGGACTATTGTCCTCATCTTTGTCGCCATATTCATTACAACGTTTCGGCCGTTGTACGCTCCAGCCTCCTTCAGGTAGTTGGACTGTCAAACTGAACCCTTTATTTGCTCACTGGGTTAGACTGTGCTAGTTCCACATGGCATGTTCAATGGATGTCAGTTATCAGTTATCTCCTGTTAGTTTCCCTCTAAAAGTTCTCCACTGCCTTAACTGTCGCCTCTAAGTGTTAGCATCGATGTTCACTTTTATATTTACACAGGCTCTGCTACTGAGCATTTTATCCCATAAATATAGCACATCTTAAACTATATTCTTCCTATATATATATATATATATATATATATAAGGTGCGCCATGCGCACTTAAACTATTCGTATCCCATGCTGACTACAGCTACACTTCTTTTCCTATTGTATCACATTTCCTTGACTCTGTTTCTGCAAGTAGAAAAGGAAGACATTTTCTACTCTAGATATTTCTTTTAATTTTCACAAAAGCGATTGACAGACACGAGTTATTTCCTATGAGAGATTTGCAAAATAATCTTTTTTAGAACACGATTAAATAACATATTAACGTCTTTCCATTTTAACATCAGTTGAGATATATATATATATATATATAATGGATATACATTTTGTTTCACACCGTTTATCACTACTCTGAGATTCTTGCACACATGTCAGCTTTCAACACGCGCCTGACGATTGTCTTGTGTATCAGTTATGCTAAACGGTGAGGAACAAAACCTATATTTATTAGTAGTATGAATGTTAGCCCTGCTTTTATACATAGAATAGTGCTTTATTGACACCAGTACTCATTGTACGCTATTGCAAACACACACACACGCATATACACACACGCGCGAAAGCGAGCACACACACACATACATGGTGTGATGGGTAAATTGTCGCGTCTTTGTATTTTGAAGTTCGCGCATGCGCGCTTTTGGATTTGGATTTTGTCTACTGCACAGTATAGCAAGTTCAGTTGGGCATCGTCTGTAAGAAGAAAAAGAGCGCCATGACGCAATTCACTCCGCCAGATATTTGGAAACAGCATCCTGTACTGCTTGGCATTTGTACTGCAAACTCTAATATGAATATTTCAGGAGTGTATTTGGGGTGTCAATCTGAAGAGAGTGCAGAAGATTTGGAAAAAGTTGGATGAGTCTACTGGTGATTACGTAGGTGTTTAGGGTGATCACTAGAGATGGCGTCGTTATCTCTCCGTTCATCTTCCCACAGAGCCTCAACTCTACACGAAGGTCTACAATGTCTTGAAGAGATAGTGCTACCTTGGGCTAAAAGGCTGGCTGCTAAAAGATCCTATGTTTGGCAACAGGACTCTGCACCATGCCACAAATGGTTGTCAGACAATTTCTGCGACTACATCACCCCTTACATCTGGCCACCCCAACTCCCCAGATTGTAACCCCCTTGATTTTTAGGTCGGGGGCGCAGTTGGGTGCAGACACCAACGAAATTCTTTGCAACACCAAACATGAATTGAAGGCAAGTTATTTTCTAAATGACATCAAAGATTACATTTTGCATTGTTCCGATATTTTATATTGGTCATTTTATCACACACACACATATACACACACACACATACATACACATACACATACACACACATACACTCACATATATATATATATATAATATTTTTTCTATTTTTATAAATATATTTGTGTCGAGTATGACTCATGTTAGCATAACAACATAATTTCTCATTATTGTGTGGCACCAAAGTGTTTCTAATTCCCACCCGATTAGTAAGTCTATTTTTACAGAACAAGAAAAAAAAACATCTCTACAAAACTAGAAGAATAAGTCTATCAGCCAGAAAAGTTTGTTATTGACTCAAGTGTGAGCTGAAATTTACGATGTATAATGATCCATATATGGAATTAATATCTACCATTTAATTAAGTGCATTGGCAAGGGTTGAGATTACATTGAAAAATATTTCCTGTGTAAAATAAATACAATCAAAAGGATTATCCTAGCGTTTCAGATTAATATAAATTGCTTGATCATCTTCCTGCCGAGGTTCTATCAACCATTTTCCAGGTATTTCGGGTATGATGATAAACTATATCCGGAGACAAGGTCTCTCATCAGAAGATTTGAGGTTTTGAGAAGCGTGGAAGTACCTCTTAATTGCTGTTTTTTCCAAGTCCCCACCCCCGGTGGTAACACCTGTTAGGGCCTCAGCTATGAGTAAACAGTTTAACCCCAAATAAAAACAAAACGCTATGAAAACATAAAATACATTTTTATGGCAAAAATATCAAAAATAGATTTTTATATTTAAAAAAATTACCAACAAAAAATAAATACTAAAACTGGCGAACAATGCCTATTTATAGTCAAATGGCCAGCAACATCTGTAGTTGAAGGCACTTACAATATGTTGAAGTTATAAAAGTGTGTTCAAAATATTTAGATTTCGGCATTAAATAAACCAAAGATGTGTTGATATGCCGATAAACAAAATCAACCAAGCAGCTAGGATGCTGTAACAAGGTTAAACCTTTCCAAATCAGAAACTAGAATCCGAAATTGGAATGAAAGTAGTGATGGCAAATACGTTGAATCCATCATGAGAGTTCAGGTTGTGAAATTAATAAAACCTAAACACTTCAAATATTTCGGTGTATGCATCAAATTTAACATAGGAGATAAGGCAGTTGAACATAGAATAGGAATAAGAATAAGAATTTTATATAAGAGCTAAGGCATTCAACACAGAATAAGAATAAGAATGTAGTATAGATGATAAGGCAATTAAACATTCTTTAATCAGTATCACGCCATGCAAGGTACGGATGCCATTATAACACAAGAGTTTACAGTGTGTGGAAGAATTAGGAACAGAAATATTAATGAGCTGGGTGAGAAAAGAGTAATCAGGAAGACAGTAGATAGTGATTGATATTGCATTTAAATTTTTACAGATTAAATTTGGCTGGAAAGGCAGAAGGAAGTTCCATAAGAGAGAAAAGAAACAGTATAGAATTTACGGGTAGATTGAGCCAATACAACTATAAATTGATGAGACTTCAGTGCTAGTCTAGTACTGCGCTTAAATTTAAAAAAGGTTAGGTACCACAGCGAAGAGCTCATCTGAACAATTGCAATATAATTTATGAAACAGGCAACTTAACGGCGGTGAGTAAGTGACTGAAAACGAGACCAATGATATTGCTGATTCTTCTTTAGAACTTATCAAGGAGCTCAAAGTAAACACCAGGGGTACTGGATCATATATGGCAGGAATATTCTTAGCATGAACGAATGCTAGACTTATAGATATGTAAGATAGTTTGCGGAGAGAAAAATTGTCTCGCCTGATATAGTGAAGCGGCTTTCTTAGCAGCTGACCTAACAATGGATTCAATATTGCCTTTCCACTTCATGTGAGCTGAGAACGTTACCCCGAGGAGCAACGATTCACTCTCCTGGAGGTTAACATCAGCGATGCTGATGGAAGGAATATATGGGTCTCGAGGATGATTAATGGAGAAGTTCAGTTTTGGCTGGCGTTAAATATTGACAAGCCATCTTTTGCCCTAGTTAACGACGGACTTATGGTCATTTTGTACATCGGATGCCATTTTGACATTGGCAGACTGATTAGCCTTACTCTCGAGGCAGGGGTAAATAGTTGTGTCCTTAGCGTATATGACACGTTGGGAGCTGAAGGGAAGGTCGTTAATGAAAATTTAAAAAGGCGTAGGACCAAGGATGAAGCCCTGAGGGGATACCCGCGTTTATACGAAAGAAAGTAGACGAGTGGCCGTTCAGGATAACGGCCACTCGTATAGAACCTTTCGTACTAATGCGGGTGTCCACAGAGAATAAGAATAAGATAAAAAAATAAATAATATAGGAGATAAGGCAGTTGAACATAGAATAAGCTCCACTAGGCGTGGTATTGTTCAACGGATGCTGAGAAACCCAAATGTTAAGCTGAGAACTCAAGTCCTGTTCTTAAATGTCCACGTCAGATCTAAACTAGTGTATGGATGGCATGCAAGGGTTTCTGATTACTTCAATTACATACAACCATTTTCTCAGATCAATGAATAAAAATAACTTCGAATCCTATGTGTCTTAGAGAGGACTGTACTTCGTCAGATCCTCAAGACTGGCGCTACAGAATCACAAATAACGAACTTTATCAAATGGCAAAGTTCAAATCGCTAGAAGACTTCCAAAAGCAGTAACAACTCAAATCGATAGTATATGTAACTCGATACGAAAATATTGACATAATCAAGATTTTGAGTTTCCACACTACTTAACATAAAATGTTAGGAAGGAAAACACCA